AATTTTGCTCCTAAAGGACACTTGACATTGTTAGCAGATATTTCCCAATGCCAAACTCTGGGGAAAAAGCTAAATGCAGCAAAGGCCTCATGACAGAATTAACTTCTCCAGAATGTCAAGGTAATGAAGTGATACTGTTACCCTGCCAAATACGTGCTCAACACAGCCAATGACAGGTCATGTTAATGTTTAAATATAAGGTGTCAATCACACTTGGCCAGCCTCCAAACCCTACACTGACAGACACCCAGACACCCCTCCCCCCGACCCCTAATTTCTGATTGTATTTTCAGCTTCTGCTGTCTTGGCTGGCTTGACTTCAGCTATGGCAGTGGCCCTTTTGCTCTCTGGAAGCACTGAAGGTTCAATCAGGCCACAGTGCCTTGACTTTTGTTGTTTCCTCTGCCTAGGATGTTGATTTCCTGGACAACTAACTGCATGACTCCCTGTCTTATGCCTGCTCTAGGTGTTTGAAAGCTTGCTGGAGTGATTGGCTTAGCCTGGCTGCTGGGGAAGTTTTCCACTAACAGTTCCCAGCGTACATGTCCTGAAATTATTCCCTGAGGAAGACGGCCTCGTTTTCCAGCAGCTGTCCTCTTCAGCTCAGCTAGTTCTCTCGGTTTAAAGCTGCATGCCTAAGTACCACCCACAGAGGGCCAGGCCCTCCTACATCAGTTCACAATTGTTAGATGTTAAATCTGATGGGTCACTTCTCAGAGTTTCCTCAAGCCAACTCAGATCCAGCTAGACGTGAACCTGCTAGTCTGTCTAGTCCTCCTACCCCTAAACTTTCATAAGCTACCCTTCCCAAATGTAAATTTAGAATAGGAAAATCACAAACATCCAAGTTTGCCTACAGGGTCATGTGTTTGATAAGCTTTAAAATAAGCAGGATGGGGGGTGATGGTGGCACATCCTTTGGATCCCGGCACTCAGGAGGCAGAAGTAGGGTGATACTCTGTGAGGTCGAGGCCAGCCTGGTCTACGAATAGAATTCCAGGACAGCCAGGGTTATGAGAGAAACCCTGTCTAGAAAAACAAAAATAAAATGGAATAAGCAGAATGTAAAACATGGAGACAGACCCACACATGGTTTTTGTTGTTAGGATTGTACCCTTCTAATTATTCAAAAAAGGAAAGAAAGATCATTTGTTAGGGTGTATAACTGAGTTGTGCACTCAGTTTATAGGCTTGTAACTTGTTGAATCTTCAGTGTTCCAAGGTGGCTCCCGGTTTCCCTACAAAGCCGCTTCTAACCTCACACAGGAGTTTCCAAGGTTGCCAAATAAACTGCTTAATTAAACTGCTTCACTTTCTTTTTTATTTCTTTTTTCTTTTCTTTCTTTTTTTCGAGACAGGGTTTCTCTGTAGCTTTGGAGTCTGTCCTGGAACTAGGCCTTGTTCCAGGCTGGCCTCAAACTCACAGAGATCCACTTGTCTCTGCCTCCTGAGTGTGCACCACGACCACCTTGCTGCTTCATTTTCTTTACTGAGTCTCTAGTACTCTTATTATAATGTGACTACTGCTTCTGACACTCTTAAGACAATTTCCTACAATTGTGCCCAACAAGTCAATCTGACTTAGGCAATTTCTCAATTGAGGGCCTCTTCTCAGAGAATTCTAGGGTGTGTCGAGCTGACAAACCCAACCAGGACAAACGCCTGGTTTGTCACTATCTAGCTTTATCTCCAATTTTTATTCAATTTTTCCGGATAATTGTCTTTCCCCCCGCTAGCCTATTCTGAAATTCGTCAAGACAAGGCTTCATGTTTTCTTTGTTTGCTGTTGTATTTTCGTCATATGGAGTAATGCCAAGCATGTAGTTACTGCCCAACTCGTTCCTTGTAGTACGAATAATACAAACCCAGAGGCACATATTTGGGTTCAAGCTGATGATCAGAAAAGCAAAGCAGTTAGCCTCTAAAGAGGCCTTTTACCTCTGCCAAGGCTCAGGCAAAGGAGCCATCCTGCAATGCTCTCCACCAACCTCAGACTCCACACTCCACTGAGTTCTTGTCTCTTCCCCTTTATATTCCTCTCTCCACCCGGTCATATCATTTCTATCTCCACCTCCTCAGTGCTGGGATTAAAGGCGTGTGATCCCACATGCTGGGATCACCTTCGTGTGAGCTCTGTTTCCTCTATTACACAGATTCGATCTTGTGTAGCCCAGGGTAGCCTTGATCTCACAGAGATCTGTCTGCCTCAGTTTCCCGAGTCCTGGGATTAAAAGTGTGTGCCACCCCTCCCTTGCCTGTATGGCTGACTAGTGTAGCTGCTTTGCCATCTGATCTTCAGGCAAGCTTTTATTTATTAAAACACGAACAATATGCCACTATAATAACTGTTGAGTAAATATTATGTAAAAAAGTGTGGAGTCCAAAGGAAGATGGTTTCTATTCTACCAGCAGGTTGCTGTAGGGGAATGGAGATGTCCTGGGCTGGGCAGTGCCTGTCTTTAATCTTAATACTTGGGAGGCAGAGGCAGGTACCACTAGCTTGGCAGAGTCCAATCCCCGGGCCCCACAAGGTAGAAGGAAAGAACTGGGTTTTAGCATATCATATATTTACATTATGGTTTAAAACAGCAGCAAAATTACAGTTATGAAGAAGCAACGAAATAATTTTACGGTCAGAGGTCAACACAACACGAGGAACTGTATTGATCACAGGGTTGAGAAGGTTGAGAGCCGCTGAGCTAGCGGGTCCTTTACCTGATATACTTAAGACCAGAGTTATTTCAGATTTTGGAGCTGTTTGGCTTCCAGATGTTTGGATTAGTGATCATGATGGTTGATTTTTGTCAACTTGACACAAATCTAGACAGACCTGGGGAAAAGGGAATCACAATTGAGGAATTGCCTCCATCAGATCAGCCTCTGAACATATCTATGGCTTATTTTCTTGACTGCTAACTGAGTGAGAAGGAGTCAACTGACTGTGAGCAGGGTCATCCTTGGGCATGTGGGTCTGGGCTATTTAAGAAGGTAGCTGAGCTAGGCAGTGGTGGCGCACGCCTTTAACCATAGCACTTGGGAGGCAGAGGCAGGCAAATCTCTGGGAGTTCCAGGCCAATCTGGTGTACAGAGTTAGTTCTAGGTCACCCAAGGCTATAGAAACCCTGTCTCAAAAAACCAACCAACCAACCAACCAACCAACCAACCAACCAACCTACCAACCTAACCAAAGCAAAGCAAACCAAACAAAAGAAGCTCATATCAAAGCAGAAGTGGGAAACGGAGTAGGGGAGGTAAGGAGGTTTTTCTGGAAGCATGTTCTCTGGTACGGGCTGTTGCATGGTCAAAGAAGGAAAAGCTCTGCCCTTCATCTTGGATTTGTCAAATGGGAAGTGCTTGAGGATTCTGGGAAGCATAGTTCCTAAGGAACTTTGCCAGTCTGCAGGGATCAAATAACAAAACAACACAAAACCAAAAACCAACCAACCAAACAAAACAAAAACCAAAACCCAAGTCTGGCAATCTCAGGTTTCGCAGGTCTGCCTTTGATCTCGTAAAACTGGTACTCAGTGGGAGAGGCTGTGTTCCTTATATAGTTTTGCTTTTACCTTGTGCTAGGCAGTTTATCCAATGGAACTTCTCCCCCCAGCCAAGAATCCCCTTTCCCTGGGTGATCAGAGGTGGTGCTCCAACAGCCCTGGGGACTAAGCAGTCAGAATAATCCTTCCTGGAGTCAAGGAAGGGATTTGGTATAAACCATGGTTTTTCCCAGGGCTCCATACCAAAAGTTGTTTACAGCTTTCATTGCACACACAGTGAAAGCATTTCAAGTGTTGGCAAGATACTGGGCTGAAGGCAGGCTTATCTTTCATGGCTGCTTCTTAATTAGGACTGAAAACTTTTAAAGAACCAATCCCTCACATTCAGGCTTGCTTTCTGTAGCATCTACAGTCTAGAGAAGATCAAAACAACTACTTGCCCAGGGCAGCACTAATTGGCTGTGGTATCCGGTGGTTTTATTGCTCTGTAATAAGGTTACTTACTCTCTTTCTTGAGTTCTTTAATCACTATGTACATGGATTTCCATCTGCCTTTTACTTTATTCTTTATTGCCAGAAGATCTTGGAACACCATTTGTAGAAGAAGATGAACTGCAAACCAGGAGGGCAAGCGTTGCTGCCATTTATCTCAAGGGACTTGTTATTGGGCTTCTGTCTGTGGAGTCAACAGAAATGTAGCCTTGGAAACAAGTTCTCGTTGGAAGGCGACTTGTTAGGGGACTCTGAGATCCTTGCCAAGGACATTCGACCACGAGTGCTTTGACAGTTTCATGGCTACTACAGAAACTACTACTACTAGGCCCCTGACACATAAGATCTCATTCATTGTATTACAGAACTGCTGGCTGCAGTCAGCAGAGGCAGAAAAAAATCCTAGATTCATGAAGTCTTGAGGAAGAAGTCACCTTTTATTTTCAGCAAACTACAGTGAACAACTAAAGCATGCAGAGGTAGAGACTTGGATGGGCTCAGATGCCTAGCTGGGGGCAGAGGAAGACCCACCCAGACGCCCTATCATTCTGGTACTCATTTTATCATAACTCTAAGGCTGGTATACTGTGGGTGGCCCTAAGACATTCATTTCCTTGGCCATAAGTTCTTAAAGGGTCATCAGGTTACATCAAGTTATTTTCCAGAATTCTAGCCACAAATAAAATTAGTCTTTTGGTCTGGAAGTCAGTAATGCCATGGGCTGACCTACCTACTTTCCAGATCTGCTTCACTAGAGAGAGAAGATGACATGTGTTAGGACGGAGTGGTGTGTGTTTCATTTTTGTGGCTTCTGACAGCGTGTTTCCCAAAGTGCAGTACTTTGAACCTTGTCTTACAAACAGCAGTACCCAGATATGGTCACTTTGAGAGCAAGAGAGTAGTAAGAGGTGCAAGGAATAGTTTAGGCTCTTTACTGTGGGTCGGCCTCCCAAGGCCGGTTTTGGAGCATTAGAGAGAGGTCTTCCATTGCCTAGAGAGGCCAGGCCAGGGCGTCCCCTCTGCTCGAACCGCGTCTCTATGGCGGCCGCGACAGCCCACAAGGCGCAGAGCGACATGAACGCGGATGCTGATGGTCAAGGCGGCGCTGTGCTCCCTGCGCAGTCTCGAGAGGGCAGTCCCGTGGCGTGTGACTTCGTCCCATCGGTGCTGGGGACACGAGAGCAGTGAGTGTGGCGTGGAGGGTGAGCGGGAGCCTGAGGCCCAGAAGGCGATGGGAACCACTCACCCCCACCCGCGGTGGGGGCCTGAGGGAGGAGGGTGGAAGCCACCTGTGGGGACTTAAGGGGCAAGAGCTCAAGCGAGCCCCGGAGAGCGGTAAACCCTCTTTCTAGGGATTCAAGGCTACCCGGTGTAGGGGTCTAAAGTCTGGCTTGGGGAAAAGGGAGTAGAGGCTGGGCAACGAACCTCACGAGGGCCCGGGGAAGTCCCGGGAGAGCTGTGGCATCAGGAGGAGATCGGAGTGGAGGATGCTGTGAATTGTGAGCTAGTGAGATGGCAGGGGTTCTGGGGGGAACCAGAGAGGAAGTTGAGGCTAAGAAATTAATGGACTGGAATATACGTGAATGAATGTGGGGAACAGAAATTAGGATGAGAAGAAATTTGGGGAAGGGAGCCCGAAGAGAAAACAGATGGTAAGGGGCGGGGGTGGGGAGTTGCCGTTGTAAGGATTAAGAGATTTAATGGGAAAGCTAGAATACAGGGAGAGGCAAAGGCTGTTTTAGCATTTAATTTTAATTTTTATCTTTGCTGCTTTCATTGTGAGCAAACCACTAACCTACTGGTTAGAAAATCCTGTATCTGCACATTGATAAACAAATTTGGAGACACAAACTCAGCTTGTGCAGTCCAGTTTTGAACTTGGGTCTGGGGCTTAAGAGATTTTTGGGCAGGCGCATGTTTTTATTCTTTAAACTAAAATGTACATAGGATTATGCATTGCATGAGTATAAGTACTTGTTTAATTTATTCTGCTTGATCATAATTTTCATTCATTTAGCCCAAGGATGTTTAAAAAGATGAGTTATACACACTTATTGACAGCACTAATAATGTTTTAAGGCTATTGTAAGTCGCCATGTAATGCATTGGGAATTATTTGTTTAATTCACAAAATACAGTTTAATTTGGGAATCTTGCTTCACATTTCATTGTTTATGTAGTTGGGATGCTGTTTATGAGAGAGAACTGAGAACATTCCAAGAATATGGAGATACGGGAGAAATCTGGTGAGTTAAGCTAAGGAATTGGTTTTCTGGGTATGAGAGAGTGTGCTTACAACAAAGACAGTCTAGAAGCCTGGGTTGAATCTGACTTCAGTAGCTTTAAAGAATCTATTTTCTTTCTTTCTTTTGTTTTTGTTTTTTGTTGTTTTTTTTCCCCCAGACATCATTTCCCTGGAACTTGCTCTGTAGGGCAGGCTGGCCTCAAACTCAGAGATCCACCTGCCTCTGCCTGACTTTTGCTTCAATGACAGTTTTAAAATTTCTCTTTTCCTTTTTTTTTTCTTTTGTGACCCAGATTTAAATTGATCACAGTGCTAGGAAGTTACTTTCATTCCATAGTTGTAATTTTTCAGCTAAGTAATAAAATTCTGAAGTACCAATATTTGCTGATGTCCAAGAAGGCAAATATTAGGACAACATTTTAAAGGATTGATGTTGATGTAGAGTATGTGTGTGTGTGTACATGTGTGTTTATAAATGCTCATACCTCTATTTACTTACTTATGTACATATTATGTATAATACATACCTTTGGTATTCTATTTTTAGAGGTGTGTTCTTCTAAATACCAATAAAGATGAAACTTAAACAATTATCAATATTCTCACTTTTACAAAAGACTTGAGTGAGTGTATGGTATAAACAGATGAAGTGGAATATAGTTGCAACTTTTGCTGCATCTCTGCTCTTTGTATTCTGTTCCTAACAGGTTTGGGGAAGAGAGTATGAACCGACTAATAAGGTGGATGCAGAAACACAAGATCCCATTGGATGCCTCAGTGCTTGATATTGGAACTGGAAATGGTGTTTTCCTGGTTGAACTTGTTGGTACTTTTAGTATTCATGTATTTGAGCCAATTTTTAAAATGAAAGTTTTTTAAAAATGTTGCAGTTAAGAGATTACCATCTATGTGAAATAGCAAAACAGTTGGGAGACTCTGAGTGTTCACATGGGAGGAAAGGGAGACTGCATGGATGTTAGGAAAGTAATATATGGTTTCAGGCATCATCCTGGAAGCTGGACTCTCAGATGCTACTGAATGGTGAAGTCCTAGAAGTGCAAAAACTAATAAGTCATAGTCCTCAAAGAGTACAATCTTAAATGTGAATTCTGAGAAGCCAGAGTTCTGCAAACCTCAATCCCTGTATTCTGGCAGAAAGCAAAGGGTTTATGAGGATAATGAGGAGAGGATTAGAACATTGGTGGTCCTGTGCTTGGTAGTTGTATCATATTAGGTATAGCAAATACCAAAAATCTGGGTCGATTATTATTTCAGATGTGTATGTGAGGTTTTCAGAGGAGATTAATGTCTGAGTGTAGAGAGAGTTAGGGAAGAGCTGTCTCAGTATGGGTGTACATCATCCAGTAGGTTGAGGCCTGTCAAGGACAAACACAGGAGCTAAGTCAGTCTTTCTAAAAGTTAGGACAGTTATCTCTTGCTGTTGTGCACTTCCAAACTCTTGGCCTTAGGATCCTAGGGCTTACACCAGTGGTCCTGGATCCTAAGGCTTTGAGCCACAGACTGATAGTTATCTCATTAGTTTTACTGGTTCTTAGGCCTTTGGGCTTTATCTGAGTCATGCTACTGGCATTCCCTTACAGACAGCCTATGAGACTTCTCAATCACAATAATCGTGTGAGCCAACTCCTCCAATAAACCCCTCTTATTTCTGTATATCTATATCTGTATCTCATAACTGGTTTTTGTCTGTATATATTTTTACTGATACAGATTTGGTATTGGAAAACAGCATCATTCCTTCTTACTTTATTCCCTAAAACATAAAGAAATCTGCAAAATTGTTCCCTCACAAAAAGGTTTTGCAGTATTTTATATTTTACATTTATTTGTTTATATGTGTATTAGACTTGGTGGCCAAGTGTCTTTACCTGCTGTACCATCTCACTGTCACAAAGGCGTTGATTATTTCATTGTACAGGGCTACTTAATGGTTAAAGATAACCATTTTAAAGCTAGGGTCAGCGAGACAGCTCAATGGGTGAGGGTACTTGCCCCAAGCCTGCTCACCTGAGTTGTGTGGAAGGAGAGAACTACTTCAGTAATACTACTTACCCTCTGCCCTCCATGCACAAACAAACAAACAAAATAAGTATAAAAACATTTTTTTAAGTTGAGTTTTTTTTTTAAGATTTATTTACTTATTATGTATGTATACAGTGTTCTGCCTGCATGTATGCGTGCAGGCCAGAAGAGGATGCCAGATCTCTTTATAAATGGTTGTGAGCCATCATGTGACTGCTGGGAATTGGACTCAGGACCTCTGGAAGAGGTTCTTTAATGCACAGAGATCAAGTTTTAAAAAACAAAATAGAAAACTAATTATTGGTGCTGTGATTACTTCTTATTTGCAACAATTAAACAATAATCACACCTTCAAAGGGACACTTATGCTTACCAGAATTTTACAGCTGAAATACTCTTCAAATGACAATGCAGTGTAACCTATATTGCAGTGAAAATGTTGTCTTTAAATGCAAATTAATCCAGAATTAATCTGTTGTATGCTGCTGCCAGTTCTACACAGCACTGTGCTCCTTGCAAAGAATGCTTGTCAGAAGGAGCTTGAAAAGTTCAGTAACCTGAACAAAAGCATATGGACATATAACGAGAGCCTTTGGGGTCCAGCCCCAAGACTCTTTTCAGGGTTCAGAATGAATGCAACAGTAAGCAAAAAGGACTTGTGTTCTGTTTTATGTAAATGGAGACTGCGCTTTAGTTTCCTGGACACCCAGACCTGAATAATCACACAAAAATTATGTTAATTATAACACTGTTTGGTCAACGGCTCAGGCATATTTCTAGCTAGCTCTTACATCTTAAATTAACCCGTTTTATTATTTTATATTTACCACAAGATTCATGGTTTGTTACCTCACATCTTCGTTCTTGGGCAGTTACATGGCATCTGCTTTACTCCACCCTCTTTTTTTCCTGCATCCAGTTTAGTTTTCCTGCCTGGCTATATTCTACCCTGCTATAGGCCAAAGCAGCTTCTTTATTAACCAGTGGTAATAAAATATATTCATAGCATACAGAGGGGAATCCCACATCAGTTTTGATTTTTTGAGACAGGTTTTCTCTGTGTAGTAGCCCTAGCTGTCCTGGAACTCGCTCTGTAGACCAGGCTGACCTTGAACTCACAGAGATCTGCCTGCCTCTGCCTCCTGAGTGCTGGGATTAAATCACCAGTCCTTTTCACGAAAAGGACTTTTTGTAAGGGTGAACGAACTCTCACACATGCTTTTCCAAATCAGTCTCTTTATTGTTTTGCTTCTATTCTTATTCTCCTGCCCTACTTCTAATTTCTCTTAGCTTCTTTTCTTCTCTAGTCTAAAAATTTCTTTCTTTGGAGGAGCTTTGAAGCAATAAAAAAAATTACAAGAGTTACTTCTTATTGGTCAAAAGCACATCTCTAGGTCAGCAATAGGGAGCTAAGCCATTGCCATGGCAACATAAAGTTTCAAGGTTACAAGAGTGAGAGTGTGACCAAAGGGCAGGGGTACAGTGCCCAGTGAGATAAGCTCTGAGACAGGCCTATTGTCCCCAGACTTGGCAGGTGAAGAATTGGTAAGCTTTTCTTAGGGTGCTTTGTGTAGCAACCTGGTTAGACATCTGCACCTCTGACCTTGTGCATAGCTGTAAAGTTTTAAACTTATGATTCATTCATAAAATGCCTTTAGTCTAGCTTTCAGGTGAAACTGAGTAAATTATATGTAGTTAGCCTGATTAAAAAGGAACAAAGCAGCCTTTTAAGTGCCTATAGTCCTCATGGACAAATAGATCTAGTAATGAAGCGTGTCCCAATATATAGTTTATATCAAAATTATGTAAATAAATGAAGTCATTTTCCTGATACCCACACATATATGTGCCCATAAGATTGAGGTGTAGCTTGGCGATGGTGGCTTACATTTTTAATCCTAGCACTCCAGGGGGCAGAGTCAGGCAGAACTCTGTGAGTTTGAGAGCAGCCTGGTCTATATAGCGAGTTCTGGAACTGACTTCATAGTTATTGAGAAATCCTGTCTTGAAAAGCCAAAAAAACAAAAAAAGGCTGAGGTGCAATCATGATTACATGAAAATGCATGGTAAGGGGAGATATCATAACACAAGTGAAATTCCAGATGAAAACAACAGTTTCAGAGTCGGTGGTCTGCAAGCCTTGCTGACGGGTACCTCTTCAAGGAATACTTCCTCTTGTGGGTGGACATCTGAATTATCAATTGCTATAAGCTGTAATTGTGTTGTGACCCACAATAGCGTGTGATAAACACTCTGTGACAAGTGGAGAGCTCAGTTTGACTACTGAAGAAGACAGGCAGGCGTACTTACTATAAAGTCTTAGCAGTAGAACACCTGTTGGGCTAATGCATGGCCCAAACTATTTTGAAACTATCTCCATTAAAAAAAAAATAGAAAATTCATGCCTCTGTTAGGCCTGAATATTTTAATACTTTTTTGTGTACTAATAACTGGGAAAGTGAAGCTTTGAAAAGACTTTGAAGACTTGGGAGAGGTTTTAGAAAATGAGCTTACATCGCATCCCAAAGCAGTAACAACAGATGAGTGAGGGTTTAGGTGAAATTCCCTCCAGCAGGTGGATTTACAGTGTGGTCAGTAAAGTGTTGTGCAGTTTTCAGCCAGTGCCTTTGATCAAGTGTGGTCAGTGGTAAAGCCATAGACAACAGAAAACTTCTGCTGAAAATGGGTTATTTTAGCCAGGTGGTAGTGCACATCTTTAATTCCAGCACTGGGAAGGCAGAGTCAGGGCTACACAGAGAAGCCCTGTCCTGAAGAACATAACCCAGTGTTCCCAGTGTTGACTTTTGGCCTTTACACTCATGAATGCACACATAAGAACACCTGTCTACCTATACCCACATACGCACACACAAAAAGTGTCATTTGTCTTTATTGGTGTTACTTCTAGCTCGTGCAGTTCTAGGAGCTTTTGATGAATTGAAGCATATTTGCATGATGAAGCCAGTGATATTACTGAGTGGTTTGAAAATAATTAAGTGCCTGGTCATGGTATTGTTTACTTATTAGTTTTGTGTGTTGAATTTGTGGCCCATGTCTGAATGCACGGGAAAAGAAATTGCTAAATGCCCAAAACAACACAGGCATGATGCTGGCGGTGGAACTTATAATTTTATTATTATTTTTTAAGATTTATTTTTTAGCCAGGCGGTTGTGGTGCACAACTTTAGTCCCAACACTCAAAAGGCAGAAACAGGTAGATCTCAAGTTTGAGGCCAAGCTTTGTCTATAGTGCAAGTTCCAGGGCAGACAGAGCTACATAGATAAACCTTGTTTCAAAAAAAATTTTTTTTTTTATTGTGTTGTATGTCTGTGTGAGTTCTGCTTTGTGTGTGAGGATGCCCACAGGGGCCGGAAGTTGTTAGATCCCCTGGAGCTGGAGTTGCAGGCAGTTGTGAGCCTCCTTCCGTCGATGCTGGGAGCTGAATTCAGGTCCTCTGGAAGGACAGCAAGCACTCTTAGCATCTTAGCCAAGAATTCAGTCCAAGGTAGAACTTTCTGATAGACAGGGAGGGATCACATTGCTTTCTATGAGTCATAGAATTTCAGAATAGCACCTAAGAAGATAAACCGAAGCATATTCTCTAATAAAGGCCAATCCTCTTCTTGATGTGAGACTATTTTCCTGTAGTTGCCCACAATTGATCCTTTATTAGTTATTTATTTTTTTTTGGTTTTCAAGACAGGGTTTCTCTGTGTAACTTTGGAGCTTGTCCTGGAGCTCGCTCTGTAGACCAGGCCTTGAGCTCATAGAGATCCAC